ACATTTTTTTTCTCATCCAAGAAGCTTCTTCAGTTCAGAACATGTTTTCAAGGGGGAGACGGACAAGAAAGTACAGCTGCCTTTTGGGGGGGAAAGTATCTTTGGGATATGCAAACAGAGTTTCATTAGTTGGAGGGCTCCACGTCATGCTGGTTGGAAAATAGGACTACAATGCATCTTTTAGAAGAAAGATCCAAGGAAATTAAATATAATTAAAGGAAAATCAATAATCAACCAGAGTAGAGCTGGAAGGAACCTTGGAGGTCTTCTATTCCAACCCCCTGCTCAAGCAGGAGACTCTATACCATTTCAACAAGTGACTGTCCAGTCTCTTCTTAAAAACCTCCACTGATGAAGCACCCACAACTTCTGACAGCAAACTGTTCCACTGTTAAATATAAGTAAAGGGAATCCTTCCCCAAATCATAGTAAGTAAATAAGGAATTAAAAGAATCTTAAAGACCACCTAATCCAACTCCCTAAAACACAAAGTATGTTTTGTTCAGGGTTACTTTCAGTACCACATTTCCTCCAACTTTCACTTTGGTTATCAATTGTTGCAGCTGTGCAAAACATTTCAAGGATATTTTGCAAGAAATTCTGGCACAACCAAAGCATCTCTCATCAAAGTACTGAGGAAGTTGTTCTGAGGCTTTCCCAGCAAAGATACCCAACCTGTTTCATTGGCAGCCCCAACATGTTACCTGAATACCCTTATGTACATAGAAGCAACTTGAGAAAACCAAACCATGGTAAAGGAAATTGAAATTATGATATGAAATAATGCCCCCTTGCATAAGTTATAGTTTTCTACTTATTATTTAGAATTTGACAAACAAAACCAGTAATTAAAAGGAGGCTTTGCAGGCATAACTTCTGATTGGGCAAAACGAACAGTGAAACTAATGTATTTTTATTTCAAATGCAACTGAATTTTGGAGGTGAAGCGATGAGCCAAGTGATGAGAAGGTAAAGCAAAAAAAGATGATTAGCTTTATGTTTAAAAGCTTACATCATGGATTACCATAGACCAGGGCTATCAAACTCCTGGGCCGGATGTGTCATGTGCTGGCCACACCCACATCCGGTTTAGCGAAGAGGAAAAAAGTCCCAATATGTCACATGACAATGTGACGTGAGTTTGACACCCCTGCTGTAGACCATAATTTAATAGAACGGCCAATCTGAATTACTTTTTATAAGAAATCTGCACTAAATATTTCACTTGATTCTTTAAATTTAAAATTTCACAAGAACTGCTTTTGAAGATCAGTGCTTTAAATATATTAACACAATATATATTCAATATTTTTTGCAAAACTGCACACTGTACTGAAAATAAATGCATATATAACGTATTTCAAATGTACCAAATGGATGCAAGGTTCCATGAATATACTGCGTAAGGTCTATGAACTATAATTCCTGTGCTTCAAAGAGGCACTTCTACATCTGCTTTTTTCATCCAAATGAACTCTGCAATAAGTTTCACATTTCAACAAAAGTAATCATAAGTAACTTTTGTTATTTAACTTTATTAAATAAGAAATTCAATTTTGAAATTCTTGGAAAAAGTAAAATCAGGATTGTTGTACTTTACTAATTTGTAAAATGAACAGAAATATGTGAATCAACATATATCACAGATATATTAAACCATAGTAATCTGGCAAGATATATGGGAGTTCCAGTACCCTCTTGATACTGTTGCCTATGGGTACAATGCATACTATTGTTATCACCTCACTCATTCTGCCACCTTTTTATTTTTGCTAATCAAAATATTTTAGTCACATATTTTTATATTTTAGGAGAATTATAATGAAATTTTTTATTCCTCATGAGGAATTTGCATTCCTTTAATGCACATATTTATTTCAATGCCAAAATCTTGTTCAGGCTGGTGTAGCTCTCAGCTAAACAAAAATTGTGCATCCCAATGTTAAAATAAAATATTTCTGTATACTGATGCTTGCTTTATACCTTCTGCATAATCCATGGCTCCCGCAAAAACAAGAGCAGCATATTCTCCAATGCTGAATCCAGCAGCCGCAACGCAGCTCTCAACAACCTGTAAAAAAAAAAAAAACTTTTGAAAACATGTTCAGAAGTGCACTGATGGCATCATGTAATTTGTAAGGAAACATCTGCAAGAAAAGTACCAAGCTCAGAAAGCACCTAGGATCTCGTGTATTCAGAAAGCTAAACTGTACAATTTCTAGAACATTCTAAATTGAAAACAATCAAGGTGACTTTTTACCTAGTCTTAAGACACTAAGGAATGAATGCTATGTTCTTACAAGGAGAATGTTCAGGTATTTCTTTATGCTTTAACATCTTTGGCATAACCCTATTCCGAGAATCAATATTTATATGAAAGATGTCAGTGTTAAATCTTGCCCAGAAGCATCTTTGCCTCCCCATTAGTCTGAGATAGGTAAAAATGATAAAACATCTTCTGTAACTGTCTTTAGTAAACTTTTCTAATTTCCATTTTCAGCTCCGAACTCAAGAGATTCTCAGACTGAATATTGTCTCAATTAAGCTCTGTCTAGTAAAATATGTGCCTGGGGCTAGTATTTTCTTTTCTAAAATTACAGATTTATACATTTTACAAACAGGCAGGTAAATAAATAAACCCAGACAAACCCAAATAATCACAGCTCTTCTGTAAATGGATATAAATCTGTTTATTATATACAGATAACCATCACTTAATAATTGTAATTTAGAGTTGCAACTTTCACTAATCAACAGCTGTAAAGTGTGACTCCCCCCAGAGTCACAGCACCATCCCACAACCATGATCACCAATCTCCTGCCAGCTTCCTGGTTTATATTTCCCCACAAATGGGCGATCCTAATCACGTGACCGTGAATACTGCACTGTAATTGCAAGATGTTTTTCAACTGCCTGAATTACAATCACATGATCCTGGGGACGTTGTGGCAGTTACAACTACAAGGACCCATCGCAAGCGCTCCTCACTCAGGGCTGTGGAAACGAAGTGGTCTCTGAAGAACCACCTGTAAGTCACACTCAGCTTTTATGTTGCAATTTTAAGAAATTGGGGGTTGCCCTATAGTTTTGAAAAGTTTTCAAAATTCTGATATATATGTATTTTTTAGCATGTTAAAAAGATGGTTAAAGAATAAATATATTCCAGCAACATGAGCTAAGTTTCTCAAGCTGAGGTTAGCTGCTAGTGTCTGTTTTCCAGAGAGAGAACACTTACTTGCTCAGGTTTCAACCACTTAACTTGGCTTATTTGCCAAATACTACTACTACAGCTGCTCTCTGGATGGCACTATTGACTTTAACCTTTTTTCTTTTTTAACCATGTTGATCATATTCCCCAGTCCAACAGTTCGGATCCAATTTGTCCATCTCATCTGCCTCTTCAGTTTACCAGTTTACTCCAAGGCAGTAAAAGTTTACTCCAAAGTAACCCTTAAGCGGTTTCACACCCTTGCAAGGGAGGCTCCCGATTTTACGCGAGAACATAATGTGCGAGAACATAACATAAGAGATAATAAGAGGTCGTAAAGTGCCAAAGACTTAATGGTATCTTTGCTCCCACAAAAATAATAATAATTTGGATGCCCTACTTTTAAGTGATAACCGCGGCAGGGGTGGATTTGGGGAGAACACTCCCAGAATCCCGCAATACGTCATTTAAAAATTAAAAATAATAATAATCAAACAGCTTGGATGTCTTCTGCCGAGGGAACAGCCTCAAAATCCTAGAACTGGAAGGGATCTTGGAGATCTTCTAGTCCAGCCCGTTGCAGGTATCCCGAGACCATCCCAGGCAATGGGCCGGTCGAAAGACTCCAGGAACGGGGTCCCCACACACAAAAAAGCAAACTTCGGCTTCTTTTCGCTCCTCGCCTCCGGGGGCTGGGAGTGTCTCTTCCCCTACCCAGGGACCCTTCCTCACCCAGGGCTGCTGATGGTGCAGCTTCTCCACGGCAGCCAAAGAGCAGACGAAGACAGCGGGCTGGCTGTGCACCGTGCGGTGCAGCCGGGCGCTGGGGCCGTCCTGGCAGAGGCTCCACAGGTCGTAGCCGAGCACGGCTTCGGCCACGCGGAAAAGCTGGCGCACGTTGGGATAGCGGAGCAGCCCGCGGCCCATTCCCACGAACTGGCTGCCCTGGCCGGGAAAGAGCAACACGGAGGTTTCCTCGGGGGCGGCGCGCTGCGCCTTCCGCGTCTTCTCCTCCACCTCCACGGTCGCGTTTTCCAAGAGTTGCTGCACGCCGGCAACCCCTCCGCCTCCGGGCAGCTGAGTAAACGGTTCCCGCCGGAGCCATCGGCCCGCGGCAAGCCGCACCGCCATGCTAGGACCGCGCAAGCGCATCGCGACAGGCCCGGCGGTTGCTACGGCAACCCTTGCTTTCCCAGACTAGGCCTCTTTTTTTTAAAAAAAAAAAAAAACGCCCGAAAAAAGACAACGAAAAAGCTTCCCGCTTTAACTGCAACGGAGGTTCCAAGGCTACAAAAAAGCGTGACGTCACTCTGGGCGCAAGCGCAGTGTTGGCCGATTCCTGGCGAAGACGTTAGGAAGGTCTTGGTGCTAGGCGGTGGGGGGGGAGGGAGGAGGAACACCAGGAAGACGGCACAGTTCTCCACAGCCAATTCTCCACAGAACAACTCACTGCGGGACAATTCAACTTATATTATTTAATTAAATTAAATAAATTAATTATAATTTATTTAATTATTTAAAATAAAAAAATAATGATTTTTGTCACACAATTTATTTAGTCTCTCCTTTGGTATCCTTGGTATTTACACCAAGACAAATTCCTTGTGTGTCCAATCACACTTGGCCAATAAACCTATTCTATTCTATTCTATTCCATTCTATTCTTTCTTCCATGATTCTATCGGATTATTTCTTTGATATGAGTGTAACTCTTCTCCAGCAGCAAGTTGGCCCATGGTGAGGTGTCCTCCTGTGGCGCATGGGTCTCCAACCTTAGCAACTGTATGACTTGTGGACTTCAACTCCCAGAATTCCTCAGCCAGCGCATGCTGGCTGAGGAATTCTGGGAGTTGACGTCCACAAGTCATAAAGTTGCCAAGGTTGGAAACCCCTGTTGTAGCGAGTTGGCCTGTCGTGAATTGGTCATTGCAAGTTGGCGAGTTGTCATAGACTCCCCAGGAGGATGTGGGAGGAATAGGCTGTTCTGAGGTGCTGAAGGACTCGATTAATTATTCCCTGGGATGGGGTGTCCCAGCTCTACTCTGATCGATGATTGATTGATCCTTGTTTGGCTTTTCACTTTTTGCCCCTGGAGTTTTTTCTCTTGGACCCTGGCATGTGGCAAAGCCAACTCAAGGCTAAGCAAATTTGACTTGGCTTGAGGTTGAGCGATGGGATAATTCTGCCTTTCAGGAGGATTAATTCTCTGCACCTTCTCCTGTCTCCCCTTGGGCTTCAAACTTCTTCCATTGGCCTTGATAACACAAAAGACAGCATGTATATGACCAGCTATTCAAGTAAACTGAGGAAGAGAGGAGCAAAGCGATGGTTGCAGCATTGGTGGAAGGCTTCGATTTATATTATTGCTACTATTTTTATGTTATCATATTTCAACTCAAAGTGGTGAACATACAGGTAGTCACATACAGGTACTCACTACCACAAGCAAGCCCGAAAGTTCTGTTGAGACATTTGTTAAGTGAATGTTGCTCCATTTTACAACCTTTCTTGCCACAGTTGTTAAGTGAATCACTGCAGTTGATTTGTTCACTTGTTGCAAAATGGGATATCACATGATTTTGGGACACGGCGATGGTCATAAGTGTGAACCGGTTGCCAAGCATCTGAATTTTGATCACGTGATTATGGGGATGCTACAAAGGTTGTAACTGAGAAATGGTCATGTCACATTTTTCAGTGACGTAACTTTGAACAGTCACTAAATAAACTGTGTTAAGTCGAGAACTATCTGTACAAAATTCCTGCTTCCTCTTTTCCCCCATAAAAATAACCTGTGAGGTAGATGTAAGCCATTCAGTTGACTTTCATGACATGAAAGATGCAACCTTTGGAGGTGCAACCAAGGAAAGACTGGCTGCTCTCTTGAAGCAAGTAGAAACTTATTCTTTGGACACACATGTAAGCAGGTGATAGATTAGAAAAATGCCAAAATTTGGCAAGTTGAGGAAAGTGGAAGTCTGTGGATTTGTTGAACCAGAGAACTCACTGTAATGTTCTTGGAAGAGCTGCAGACTGGCAAAAAACAAGCCAAGATCGTAACCATTCATCCATTTAGTCACCACAATTGAATGCAAGTTAATGGAATTTGACTAAAAATCTTATCAAGTGAAACTTGATTCTTTATGTATACAACCAGGTCAGTGGTGAGATTCCAATTTTTTTACTATTGGTTCTGTGGGAGTGGCTTGGTTGGTGTGGCAGGAGAAGGATACTGTAAAATCTCCAGTCAGAGGTGGTATTTACCGGTTCTCTGAACTACTCAAAATTTCTGCTACCAGTTCTCCAGAACTGGTCAGAAACTGCTGAATACCACCCCTGAACCATGTTGTTTTCATGACAGTTGTTTGTAAGGATATGGTTCAATTTCCTAATCTAGCCTACAGCTCTGGGAGTTCCTGGCAATCTATCAAACTCTAGCCAGATTTCATGGGCACAGCTTTGCAAAAGACTCCCATCCAGTTTGAATCAACCTTGAAAACATGTCCATATATTTTTCCTGGTAGCAATGCAGAAGATCCAAAGTCATTCACGTGGCCTTCTGAGTTGTTTTATTTTTAAAACTAAAAAGAAAAACATGCAGGTTTCTATAGATACAAAGCAATTTGATATGCAAAGGTTAAGTGATAAGTGGAATAAAGAATTAGAGGAATGTTTTAACTTTAGTTAGAGCGCCAGTTGATCTTAATCTATGACTTATAAATTACAGCAAATATTTAGTGAATATTTAGAACGTATTGCACTTCATTAGATTTGATTAAAAAGAATGTAATAATGGCAGCACCGCCCAATCCAAGGGTGTAGCTTCTAGCGACCAGCCCCTGCATATAGGTGGGGCATTCCAAGCCGCACCCCAATTTTTCTGAACTGCATATAGGAGAAGCATCCCTCCAGCCGTGACTTGGAGCAGCGTGGCAACGATGCCAGGTAAGCTATTTTCCTCCTGGTGGTCCAATCTCGGACTCTTGCAGTGAAAGCTGTGAACTTAAGTTGCTTGCAAGTTTTTTTTTTTAAATCTCTCAATCAAAAAAAGACTTCAAAAGTTTGGGCAACTGAAAGAAGTGGGGAGAAGTCCCCTTTCGGTCTGCCTCAGATCTCCCCAAGCATCCTGGAATCTTAGATAGATAGATTAGATTAACAGGGTTGGAAGGGACCTTGTAAGTCATCTAGTCTAACCCCCTGCCCAAGCACTAGACCCTACACCATTCCTGACAGGTGGCAGTCCAGTCTCTTCTTGAAAGCTTCCAGAGATGAAGCTACCATAACTTCTGAAGGCAAAAACTGTCCCCCTGGTTGATTGTTCTCACTCATTCTCAATGTCCTTCAGTTGCTCATTCAATTGTTTCCTATGGGCTGTGTATCTGCATTTGCTGTGTATTTTAGGAAGTGCTTAAAGTCATCTGCAAAAACTCCTTGTAAAATACTCTAGCAGGGTCTAGAAAATGTACTCTTATCTGTATTATGTAACCAGAAGGCAATTAGCTGAGAAATACTCTTGATTAGCTGTTTTAGTTGGTAACGCAAAAGCAATGAGGATGAAGAAAAAGGACCCTTCTATCAGTGGAGGCTTTGAGGAGATGCACCTAACTTCTTTTATGGAGGCTTCCAGGTACTGAAACCCACCAAAGATAGTTATGCTTAGCCCCCTGTCAAGCTCTTGACAGCCAAATAGCAATAGGCTTACATATGCCATAACTCTGTGTCTCATAGAGGCTTCCACAACCAGATTTATTAGAAGATAAGTGACTACAATAGGTGGCAGAAATGGCAGGCTGAATATTTTCACTTTCCACGAGGGCCTTATGTAACCCTCCTAAAAAGAGCTTCTTTCGTTCTCTTGGTTTGAAAAATAAGAGAAGTGTGAAGAGATTTCTGAATTTGCAGTGTTTCCCAAAGGCCCGTGCTTTTGCCTGGGCATTGAGGAGACCATAACCTCAGCCTTTAGTTGTTCTCAATCAAATACACTAAGCAAGGTGAAACCTGCCTAGTGCTGGGATTGGAGATCACCTCTCCCTCGAGGGCTAAACGGAGAAGTTGAAAAATCTTGAGAAGGAAGGCACTGGCAAATCTTTTCTTCACGGTTGCCAAGAAAACTACAGGAGCGTGTCCACGAAATCACTGAGAGGTTGACTCAAGATAGTCTTTTTAAAAAACTGAATACTGTATGTTGTTCATTAGTACCTGGATGGGAGACCACCGGGAAAAAAGATAATGGCATATAATTTCCATCAGTACATGGACAATACTATGTAATTACAAGGAAAGCAACATAGGAGACTTGATACATACAGTATTCTAACTGATCTCCAACTGGAGATTGGCAGACTAGCAAACATTATAAACTTTTTTACTAATGTATTTATTAATCCTTGGCTACCTGGACAGAAGCAAAGAGCTAGATTGTTGATACCTCTCTCTCTCTCTCTCTCTCTCTCTCTCTGTCTCTCTCTCTCTTAAAAAACAATTCATGCTGGATTCTAAATCTCTTGTTTTCTCTGGATGGGTTAACATAGTATGTTTTTGTTGGTTGATTTAAAGTAATGTTAAGGTTTTAATTGTTCAAAAAGTCAAGTCTTTGAGGATTCTTTAAAAATTTCCATACACCCTATTCACCAGAAGGTCGGTAGTCTCTAGGTTATCCAGAGAAAACAGTGACTTTTCATGAGGTTTCCTCACTACCAGGAAACTTTTAAAAAATTATATAATTGCCATGGCTGATCAATTTGTACCAGGGTATATAGAAAAATTCTAGGACTACATTTAATACAGGCTTAAATGAGTTGTGAAGCACATTATGCCACTGTGTACTCTGGAGACATTTTGACAAGCCGTTAATCTACATCAAGTTGTCTCATCCAAATTCTTACTTTTGCACCGGAGTTTGTAATGTCTAAAATCACCAGAGATAAAGATATAAAAAGGAAAGTTAATGCTTTCTGCAAGTTACTCAGAGAAAGGTGGTAACATTATAATGGGAAGTAAGGGTAATAGTCATTTTACTTTAGTAGGTTGCTACTGAGAGCCACAAATTAATAGACAGGAATTATTATATTATATAATTATTATTATATTATATAATTATTATATATTATATTACATTTTGAAAAATAAAAGGCAGAATCAAATCCTTTAAACTACAAGAGAGAAAAGGAGGGTATGGTTTTGTGGGAGAGGCAGGCGTGTGGGCATGCGAGCGCACCCATTAAATTTAAACTTTAGTATGTATATATTTCGAAATAATAGGTAAGCACCTGTTTTCTGAGCATAAACACCTTTCTTTGAACATGTGCCGATTCAGCTGCTTTTTTCTTATTCTAGTCATTTTGGTATCCCCTTTCCATATAATAGCTGTTTTACAAAAATAATAAATTCAGTGAATTTGTCCAGAAATAAAGATGTTTCTATGGGGCTGCCCACATTGAGGATAAAGGATGACACCAGAATGACCATGGCGGATGTGAAGGAAGGGTACAAGACAGAGGGGCATGGAGAGTACTGATCCATAGAGTGGCCAAGGGTTGGACATGACTGAATGGCTGATGACAATGAATCAAATTGAAATTTGAAATCTGGCTGGAGGGGAAAGTTTCAAATCGCAGTGCTTGTAGTTAGGGATTGATAACCCATGACAAATCTCACCATTTTTTCATGATACAATGATGAAGTGATGGGAGCTTGATTGCTTATACATTTCCGCAAACCTAGGGTCAGAAAAAGAAGGGTGATATCAAGCAAGAATAAAAACTCATCTATCTTTATTTGAATTATAAATTAGAATTTATTAGACTCTAGCAGGGAGAATCTGTTACAGATTCAAATGAAGAGCACTTCCTGTAATTGAATTGGGACAAACTAATTTGAT